ACTTTTTCACACCACTGTAAATGCAAACATTAGCATGCTAACATGCTCACAATGACAATGCTAACATACTGATTTTAATCAAGTATGATGTTTACAGTGTTAACCATGCTAAAACCAGACAAACTTTGACCTAATCATGTTGCTAAATGAAGGTCAAGGGTTCATGATTTTTACAATTCATCCACTGGGGACCATGAATGTTGATACCAAATTTCATGGTAATTCATCTAACAGTTGTCGAGACATTTCATTTTGGATCAAAGTGGGAAACCAACCAACACACTGACAATGACATCCATATAGCCATGCCACTAGAAAGGCAAAAAGGTTAAATTGCTATAGGATGTTAGCCTTAAATAGCCAGAATAACATAAAAACACTGAAGTCTGAGTCCGCTGGATGGTTTCAGTTCCACATTAGTATTTATTTAGTGAATTAGAGAACAGAATTATTTACAAATGCTGAGTAAATGTTTCCACTGCAAATATTCACAGTCAGCTTGGTTATTAATCTACAGTCGCACTGATAATCTTCTTATCACTTAGACACAGTTTACTGACTAGAAACATTTTTGAAATGTTAACAATCCATCCAACTGTAGGCACACAATCCAGAGATGAAAGACATGATTAGCATACTGTATGTTCAGTGTCACTTTTTCTCTGTTTTGTGGAATGCACAAAACACACATTTTTGCTTCTCATGTCTGCTTTACTCTTTCTAAGATGTTTAAAACAAAACATATAGTTCCAGTATGACGCTGGAAGCATTAATCAATATCACTGCTCCCTCTTCACACACAAGGCTGCCTCATTCACATGCCGCCCGCCTCTCTGCTCCTGAAAAGCCACTCTAACATCCCTGTGTGGCTGTATGGTAAGTCATAATGGCAGATAAAACAAGCACAGTGGCGTGATTCAGGAATAGTAATATTAACTGTGATAATAGTAATAGAGACTGCAGCATAATCTCTTTCTTCACGGTGCAGTACTGAGATATTTACACAGTATTTGTGTGAAAAAACCCTAATGTAGACAAGAAATTACATCTCTCACCTTTTCATTGTGTGGTGGTTTTCAAATGACTGCGAAGTGATTGTGTCAGATGTAGAAAAAAACATCTATCTTTTCCAAAGGATACATATCTCATCAGTCCTCCTTTCAACGTCTTTGTGTTTAATCACAAAGGCTGGAAGGTTGGGAAAAAAAGCAGCTTTCTTAAATATTTTCTATCTAAAAATACAAACTTTCTTTAATTTAAGTTTTAATTTAATATGTAATATGATTCTAGGCGTAATTGGTGTTTTCACGTTTTACTATATTTCTTATTTCATGCTTTACTTATGTTTATATCTGACTGGGAGTCTAGATATATGCTCCCAAATACAACTACATCCATATCCATAGTTAACAAATAACTAAACAATGTGGACATAAATGCCAAGAAGTCATGTTGACTTCTATTTCATTTATTTATTTATCATGACAAATAACAATTCTGTAAATGTGTCAGTGCTAGTGTCAGTGCTGTATGAAAACAAAAGTAACAATTACTTTTTGTATGTAAGTTATGTCACGTACATAACTTCATTTACAATCTGTTCTTAATCCTAACCAAGTAGTTTAGTAGTAGTATTTTGTCTAAAGTCTAAGTCTAAACGGATGTTTTATATTTATTGTTGCTAAATTCTAACAGTGTCATATTTTAACGCTGTAGACAGGTACTGACTACGCTGCTTTATTTGACCAGTTCCAGTGAGAACATAATGCAACTGCAGCTTTAGTTATATGTTACATAAAATTCACGGTTCTTAAACATTAATGTAATGAAGGTAAAACCCCAACTCCCTTTCTTGGGCTGTGTCCTTCCACACCTATTTGAAATCAAAACCAGTATGGCCTGTGCTGTCATGATGTTCAGATGTTGGTGCCCAACATAAGGATGGAGTTAAGTTACTGTTTCACTGATCTTAAAAGTTTAAGTTAAAGTCCTCGAGACTAAATTACAAAATCATTTGCCCCTACTGGCCCCCTATCATTTCTCTGTTCCTTCCAAAACTATTACAAATCACTGTGAAAAAATAATGTGTTTTATGATTAAGGGTTTGGTTGGATTTAGGCACAAAAACGACTGTCAGTAAAAGATCTTGGTTTGAGTTGAAATTACAAATTTGTGAAGATTAGGAGACCTTTGTCCCCATTTGGTTAAGGTTAGGGAATGATGCAGCTAATTGGTTGTAAACAGGAAACAAACAATAGTCAGTCACCTGACTTCCTCCTTTGCACCAACAATACACTGCACTTTCAACTTGAAACAAGGTACAGAAGAACCTAAAAGCATGGTTCAAGTCAATTTTAAAGTAGTTGGAAAAAGCACTCTTTGTGAATGTTTTTGTTTCCAATTTATTTGGATGGTTTTTGAAATTGTATGCTCATCTTAACTGCATATAGTTTGTGCTTTGACTTAGCCTGTTTGTGTTTTATGTATTGTATTTTTTGTCACTTTACTGTTTTTTCTGATTTTGGCCATGTCTTGGAAAGGAGGTTTCTATCAGTTTTACTTGTTTAAATAAAGAAAAAGAAAAGGAAAAAAAAACATAACCAGTCTCACTAGATGTCTTTGCCAGAAGGGGTTAAAATCATGTAAATCTGCAATTTAATGTATGAGATAAGAAGAATAAAACATATAATTAGATTAGTCTCCGTGGGATGCTTTCATTTGATTTGCAGTGACTCACTGTGCTCGGGATCCCTTCCGTGACCACCGGACCTGAACTGCTGCATTACATGATGACAAACAGACTGTGAGCAGCAGCCCGGAGCCTAATGGGACCTGAGATGGCTCTTTCTCAAACATTGTCGGAGCAGAATAGTGTAGCCTGCAGTGGGTTTTGCACAGGGTCTTAAAGTCCTTTTAATGACTAAAGTACCTTTCACTGGAGCTGTGACAGTAGTGAAAGCTCTCTCTCTCCCTGTATCACTCTGTCTCTCTCTCTGTATCTCCCTGTCTCTCTCTCTGTCTCTCTCTCTCTCTCTCTCTCTCTCTCTCTGTGTGTCTCCCTGTGTCTTTTTCCCTCTCTCTGTTCCTTCCCCTCACTCTGCAGAGTGCAGCAGAACAGAAAGTAGCCTCTTGCCTCTTGCTGTCATCGCCTTGGAGCCAGGCGGATATTGTGGAGCGCTACGGCCACAGAACTGCAGGATTCATCAGGGATCTGGAAAGTGTGAGAGTGTGGAGGAGGAGTGGAGTAAAGAACTGGTGGGCTTTTCTGCAGTATCCTTCCACTTCATCATGGATCTCTGGAGTAAAGAAGTCCAGGGAATTATTATACAGGTCGCCCTGATACTTTTCAGCTTGTACAGGGCAACAAGAGGGGGTGAGTACAGTGAGATGTTTATTTTTGTGACATTAGAGACCAGATGTAAGGTTGTTGATTTGATACTGAGTGCTGACCAGTTTACATCCCAAATGTTTGAAAAAGTGTAGCTATTTTGACCTCTGCAGCAAGAAACAAGTGTAGGAGTTACAGGTATTTGCTCTCTTTGTAAAAACTTTTTAGTTATGTGTGTTGTGTTGCCTTTTTGAAAGGCATCCGAATTCGAAGATTTCTAACACGCACAGCAATATCTCTTCATATCATTCCTTTCCATATGCTCTATGCATGGATTTCCATGCACCGTTCTTCAGTGGGGTTAGTGGGAGTCAGTGTAAGAAGCATGTGGGTGGGGAAAAACACTTTTTTGTCTAACTCAGCCTGTTAAACAGTTGCCCGTGAGCAAGACACTCGAGCCTCACCTGCTCCAGTGGAGCTGCACCGGCTGCAGAAGTCTGTAGTTGCACTTTGAAGTATGACTGCATACATTCTTAGCCTGTATCATTCATCATCATTATTAGAGAGGTTTTTTGTGATTTAATTATTCATATTTTATTTATTCTCAGTGGTTTTGAAGACAAAATGCATTCCAGTGTTGTTCATAGAGAAGAAAAACAAACTTCTTGATTCCTTGGTGTTTCTTCATGTTTCTTCTAATTCTGTTTTGTGGTGGGATGTTTCATAAGCCCTCAAGGACTTGTTTTAAATTTCTCTCTTTTCTTCTGATTTTTAAATATCATATTTGTTTCTAATTTCTCGGTAAAATTAAACTTAACAGATCGTTAGCAGTGATTTTATAATAGAATGAAATACAAGCTGTACAGTTTTTTATTTATGTATTTAATTTATTTTTTAAGAAAAATCTCAAAAAACCCCATAACATAATTTTTGGTCCATTTGGCATCCTGATCATACACTGTGTTGATGGAAATATCAACAGGATCACTTCACATGCTGTTTAAATGTGCCAAACGCTGGCATACCAGTAACAATGCTGCTAACACAACTTAATAAAGTGGGTGTCAGAGGGTAAATGTTTGTCTATGATGAGGTGGATGCTGTATTAAAATGTATTCTGTGTCAACATGCCTGGGCAAATAATATTTATTAAACATCTAAGTGGAATCAAATGCCACTAAGGGATTCAGTGTGGGCAGAGTGGGGACAGACAGGTAGAGGGTAGATATTACCACGCCAGGTTTATATTCCCCCTGACAGACAACAGCTGCTGGAGAGAGAGAGACACACTGATATTATGGGTTTTGAAAGAGTAAAATAAAGAAGATAAAGAGATTTCTTTGCCCTAAAGGAAATGGTGTGGACTCAACAGAGTGCCTATCACAAACCATAACTGAAAGAGAAGAAAATGCAGCTGTCTTGAAACACTTTTTTGCCCTCTTAGAGAGCAAACATACAGTAACTCATCCACTTAATAATCTTCAATGCCCAGATCTCTCTCCACATTTTATTTGACTTTGTGTTAGTGCTGAGCTAGACCCACAAGCCAGGTCTGACTCAAGCTATTTGTCAGAATGAACAAAAGAGGTAAAACTGTCATGAGAGGGCAGATGTTTCTGTTTCTGCAGCCGGTCACAGTGACCCTGCTCGACACTGAAGCAGCAATGCTTATTTAGGGGAAGCGGTGGGTGGAGTGGCTGGAGAGACCATTCTGTGACAAGTCTGTTGTGAGTAACCTGGGTTTTCTTCATAGAGAATTCTTGAAAAAGGAAAAGAAAGAAAACACTACCGTATGTGTGTATGTCCAGTACTCTTGTTGGGCAATAAGAATATTATTGGTAAGACTGACATTCAACAGAAACATCCGGAGAGAAGGATATATCACAAAGCAAAGTCATGTCTCATTAATAATGCAGTTGTGGGGAGGAGCTGGGAATTGTTAGCATCCTGAAATTTCAATATAGGTGGGGAATTTGTGCTTCAAGCTAGAACTTTCAGCACTCTGCAAAGAAATTGTGAACACTATTAACATGAAACAGACGAAACTTACATATATTCTAAATGTTTATTTCTCTGCAATAGACACAGGACTGGAGAGCAGCAGAGTCAGAAAGCTGAGAGGCTAATTGGATGTGAATGGAATGTCTGTAACCCTTCACTGCAGTGTGAAGTTACTGCAGCTCATTCATTGTAACCTTTACCTACAGGTATTTGCTGCCTAGCAAGACATTACTAAGTTAAATGACACGGACCAGGAATTAATCCTCCTTATTCAATTAACTATATAGCATCTGGTATAAGGTGCTAAGATTGTCACCATTGCTTTTTTCAGTTTTCATTCCTTCTTCATCAAATGAATGCTTACGCTGGGGAGGTCTCTATGTTAAAGGAATGACTTGAATAGGAAATATATGTGTTGACATTTTAATTCTAATAAGACGTTTACCATTTATTTGTGTTCCTCTGGACCAACGTTACCTAAAGAAATTCTGCAAATTCAAGCAATCCCTGTGTAATTTTCTCCTGATAGATAGCAGTGGCTCAATCCGCACGTGTGACTGCCTTTAGGTGCATTCTGCGAGAGCTCAGTTGCAGTTTAGCGGTGGGATTTGTCTGAGATTACCAGGCTCAGAAAAGAAATAATTTGCAGCATAAAAATGCTATTTAATAAAGTTATGGTTGTGCAACAGCAGAGTAGAGAGAGCTCAGTAGGAGTGAGCTAGAAACCCAGCAGAGGCTCTGAGCGGCGCAGGTGGAGGGAGGAGATGGTGCTGATATGGTTGATGTCTCACTAGAGCACTGAGGTGAATGCAGAACGCTGTAAATAAAAAAAGAGTGCAGGTGCCAGCACAGTCATTTGTCTGTGATAAAATCAGGTATTCAGATCAGATATTGTCCTCACTTATTATTACTGCTCTTTTCATTCTAAAAATCTGTTTTACTTATTTTTATTCCATTATTTATTTACAATATAGCACCTGTGTGCATCTGCGTTTTTGCCACCAATTCTACAGAATGCTGCTCTTAGAAGGATATGAACTCCACCTTCGGACCCAAAGGAGGTACAGTGGCAAGCTCTTAAACCACTGAACTATTCCAGGATTCACAAAAAAAACAAGGCTTTCCACATAATGAGGCAAGGACATTGCATGTTCCAGACTGGGGCATTTTTGTCTGTTTAAACTTAAATTGCTTACAACAGTCAAAATGTTAGTGAGATAACAAAAATTTGAAAAATCTTTTTACTTGTTTCTAGTATATTGTAAAACATTTTTCAAAATGTGCATATAGTACTAATTACTGCAAGATATTGAATATCGTTGTGAACATGTGATATCTACCATTCAAAGAATGTGGATTTTGGTCGCATTTTTTGATCAGCCTTCCCTGTGGGTGCTGTTCAGTGGGTGCTCAAGCAACCTGAATCGCCCACATGATTGCCACATGTATGGTGGGTTCAACTTTGGTGAACTCTGACACAAATTCATGCCTTTGACCAATAGCAAAGAGCAAAGCAGCGAATCGTAGAGTTCAAAATAGAGGAAACTCTTGCAACTTGTTAGCTGTTTATTGCACTATCCATTTTTATTCAAACACATGCACCGTTTGCCTCAGCTATTCAAAGGCATACAATTTTCCATGTAAAATTTAACAAATTGTGGGGACCCAGAGTAAGTCCAGTTGTGAACGCACAGCCACTTATCTTCTCCATTCATATGCACAATGCTCCCTCAAATGCACAAGCAATAAGGAGAAGTGCTGCTCACTGCTGACATACAGACAGTGCTTCTGATGAAGCAAAGTACATTTCCAGGCTGCTGTGTCTGTCAGAGAAAATTCACACACGACTTTAGACACAGGAAAAAGGTGCAAGAGACTTTTCGTTATCTCTCTCTCTCCGTGACTCTCCAGTGTGGTTGCAGAGGCTCCATAGTCCTGAAAGGATTATCTCTTCTCTCAGCTGATTTGTACTCAGTGCAATGTGTGTTTTAATCGCAGCCTAATGACAGATAATACTGCTGCTCCCCGACCCTGCGTGTCTATTCATATGTGCCTGTGTGTGTGTGTGTGTGTGTGTGTCTGTGTGTGTATCCTGAGATACGAAGCGACGAGCCATGTGAAAACATGTGTGGAGGGCAAGGGAATGCTAAGCAGCACCGCGGTAGTGTGTGTGTATGTGTGTGTGTGTGTGTGTGTGTGCGCGATAAAGACAAGGATGTGTGTGTGTGTGTGTTTTGTGTGTTTGAGTGCACGTAATGCCCACAAATGTGGTTAGTGTTCTTTGTGTGCATGTGGTCTGATAATGAATGAATCACCACTCACAATCACCAGTCTCCAGTGAGATTTATTCTTAAGTTGAAGGTCCAGTGTGTAACAGTTAGGAGGATCTATTGGCAGAAATGGAATATAGTATTTATAACTATGTTTTCATTGGTCTATAATTACCTGAAAATAAAAATCATTATGTTGATGCCTAACATTGCGCATCAACAGATGCACCATATATCTAGAGTAGCACAGAAGGAACGAACCAAACACATTTAGCAGCCACCGTAGTTTCTCCTTTATGCTTGGAAGGGGAGGGTGAAGCGATCTGCAACTGCATCACTAGATGCCACTAAATCCTACACACTGGACCTTTAAAACTAATGTGTCAGTAGGTGCTGCATTCTGAGAGAGACATGGCATGAACTGTTGTCTTCTGTGACTGTGGTTCTGTCCCAAAGCTGTCTAAAGGTAGGAACTGTTGGCTGTAGATTCTGGTTATTCAGCGAGAGACTAAATGATAGTCTCTAGTATTTTGATAGTAACGGTTGCTGACCCCTGATTTAGAGAGACTCCACTTGAATGCTGCCCAGTGCAAACAGACTGCTGTGCTTTCAGCTGCTGAGAAGTTTAACCAGGATCAACAATGTTGTACATTTGAAAGTGAAGTGTCAGAGCAGCAGACGTGCAACAATATAAGCATAGTTGATAACTTAAAAAAACCTATATACATTACTGTAATGTTAGCCAACAAAGCCAACAGCTGAGGATAAAGGTTT